TTAATGAGTTTTTTGGGTTCATTGAGAACATGGTTGTTGTTCAATAATAAAATTATTCCTCAAAAATACAACTTGCCTAATAATTCTGCACTCCCTGTATTGTAAGCAAAAAGTCACAACACCTAAAGATGCTGAGAAATACAAATGAGGATGTGTCCCTAACATATCCTGGACATTGATAGAACAATAATCTTATACAGAGGACAACTACTACCATCTGGTTCTATGCGTCAAAATCTTGGGCCATAATGGTGTGCCTTAATAGTACTGCAGGTATACTTTTTGTGCAGTTAAATATTAAAAAGCCATGACTGACAGTCACTGGCCTTCAGCCTGACTGCAGCTGTTGTTGGAAGGAGTTAAAAATGCCAACATGTTGCCAAGGAAGCTAAAGAGGCACCTGGAATCCTGACATAACTTCAGAGAGAAATCTCCACTTCAGCAGATGCTGGATCAGAACCAGGGACAACAAGACTGCCTGTTGGATTGTGTATGACAGAATCTGATGAGTTTAGTGCAGCCTATAGTGAAGCACAAAAAGAACTGAAGGCTTTTTGCTCAAAAATATCTTCATCTGACTGCACAATCAGAAGAACTGATGATATTCCAAATGAGGCTTCTTTTATAGGTATACCTTGAAATTTTGTCCTGCCTTGGGCACAAAAAGAAAACGATTCTGAGCAACTGTCTCTACCCATACATTGTACCCGGCATATGAAAGCTTTATCTCCATAGCAACTTCATTACAGCATCCGCTACTGTAGTGTATCACAAGAAGGTATAAATCTTTAAATCTTTTAATAGAAGTGGTTTCACCTATCGCTGAAGTTCCATGGTTTGATCACACTTAATGTGGATCACGCCATCCAATTACAATTAAAAAATCTTGAGATTATTGCAGAAATATAACACGCTAATGAAAACAAAACCTATAATCAGAGCAAAACTGATAGAAAGCTGTCCCAGAGAGTAAATTATTGAAACCATTCTACCTTTTTCTTAGCACTCTGGGGGCTCGATCAGCTTGAGAAGAACTTCTTAGCAGATTCATCTGGTTTTATATGACGTATACAACAAGCAGCAGGATTCATACAAAAGCAGCGAGACAAGCCCAGTTGCATATATGCATGCACATTTACTTCATTTGCATCCCAACCCCCACTATTTTTACACACATATACAATCACAGATACATGCTAGCTGTTCCGACAGCCATGCTGCAGTCCCACGGGGGTAGCAGCCTGCACTGTTATCCTCCAGCTAACTGCCTAGCTGCTCCGTTTCTCTCTCTCTCCTTCAGTACCACCCACACACTGAACAGCCTGGCTCGCCCTCTGTCCTCCCAGCTTATATATGGAGCTCTGTCTACTTCTATATCTTTACCATCAGCTCCGAGGGGGAGGATAAAGCTTTGCACCATGACAGCCCATATGTAGCTCATTTCACTTGCCGCGATGCCACACTTTATTGTACACAGCGGCTCTTTTTGGCTGCAGGATGCGATGCAATCCCTTCACTTTTCTTCTTATTACACTGGACTCCGCAAACGCTCATTCAACTGCCAGCACTGCTCCTTTGGATGCAGTCTTGGTGAAAACTCCTCTGGCATTCACACATAGGAACATCACCACTTGAGATAGCGAAAATTAATGATAGCTTAAAATCCAATTTTCTTCCCTTGTGTGCTCCCTCTCCATTTACACAGATCAGAAGATGGGAGAGAGAGATCCTGACTTCAGTTACCTGAGACTGGCAGAAGTAATTACAGCATTCATCACAATCCTGAGGTACTGTGCACGGTGCACAGACACACACTTTCTCTTTTATTGTGTGTGTGAGCAAGACAGAAGTATAATCTTAAAGCTAGTCATTTGGCTACTTGTGAGAAGTTGGTATGTGAACACAGTTTGGGCACTTTTCCCACAGAAATCCAAGCATTCGTTAGAGTGGGTCCGAGTATTGAACTGTGAACTACTACAACAGGCTGGCTTCTCGGCGCATAGCCAATGATTGATGTGTGAGAGATACCCATCCCCCCACCGCTACGGTTCTGTCTGTACATCTGTCTCTCCTTGCTCCCCCCCGCCGCCACCATCACCACTACCCACCCTCCTCACTCCCTCAGTCTCTAGCACTGCGATGTTATCTCTGAGTCTGTGTGTCTGTAGGCAGGAGGTGACGCAGTGTCTGACTGAATCCAGACAAAGAGACAAACTCATCAGCCAAGAGACACACACAAGAGGGAGAGGGCTGGTTGGGGGGGGCAGGCCGGGGGTGGTAGGGTGACGGAGGGGTAGCGCGCAAAACAAAACAGACAAAAGACAGAATGCCAAAACTCTACTCAAACACAGAGCAATGGGGGTCCTGTTGAATTCAAAGGCCCCTCCTTCTCCTTTTCAGCAGCCATCCCCTCCAAAAACGCACACATGCAGACACACAACACTCTCTGAATCTGCAGAAGTACTGGGGCCCCCCCCTCTTACGTCCACAGACTTTCTGGAGAACAAGGACGGTGGGCCAGACATCGGATCAGTTCTCACCACGAATAACCTACATGTTTAGATTAGGATTTTGGTTCAACTACAAGACTGACAAACACCTTGTAGCCACACGAGACTCAAAGTTGGATTGATAACAGCCCCCCCACCTGAGAACTCAATTTCATAGTTGGATCAACAATACATATATAATGTGAAATATTCTGAAATAACACCTTATTTGTTATAATTAATACTAATAAAGGTTTTCAGAACTTCTACATTTAGGTACAGAAAAATTATGAAACCAAAGCCTCACATATACTGTTACACAAATATACTGTACTTCCCTGACAGGCATCCACTTGACACCACGAGGGTATGCACCACCACCTCCAAACAAAATACTTTTATGTAATGCATAAAAATCTTGAGTATTGTTGTACATCAAACTTAACAGCTAGACAGACACCGCTGTTGTATCATTGTCTGGAATTCCCTGTGTGTGTGTGTGTGTGTGTGTGTGTGTGTGTGTGTGTGTGTGTGTGTGTGTGTGTGTGTGTGTGTGTGCGTACTACCGAGTGTGTGCATTTGTGTGTGTGTGTGAGCATGTGCATGTGTGTGTGAGCATGTGCATGTGTGTCAGCCCGCCTGCCTGTCAGACTGTCTCCCTGCCTGTCTGGTCGTCAGTCTGTCTGGTCTGACCCACTCAAAGGGGACAGCTCTTTGAATGCAATTCATACCTCACAAGAAAAGACAGGTAAAACAAATCATGGTGAGGAAGAATGAAAGTTGGTGTGCAAAAGGTGTCCTTCTGCACTCACAAGAATTAAAAAAAAAAAACATATTATACAACAGTCTTGGGACCTCCTGAGGCCTTTCGCTCACTCTCAAAGGTGTTTCAGAGCAACAAATGAGCTCATTAGCTCACAGGGATGACTGCGGTCTGCAGCAAGTGTGAGATGCATTTCTCCAGAAGTTTAAACAAACTCTTTAGGAAGGAGGGTCGCAGCATACTTCAGTAGATTACACTGGGCAATCCCCTTCAGTGGACAAAAACTAGCTTAAGATAAGAGGTCAGCAGGGTAAGCACTGACAAGAGCATCCTGGTAGAAGATGAGTCACCAACAAAATATCTACATTAGAGGGTCTCCCAAGAGCTCCTGAGATCTGCTTCAATAAATTTATCTGTGCTTTATAAAAAATATGACACTATTTTAAAATAGAATTTGGTCAACAAATGTCAGTAATCCAGTCAGTATGCATTACACTGTAAGCGACCAGTAAGCCCAAGGTCCCTTCTTTAAATGGAAGAAATTACTATTTAGCTAAAAAATTATTTAACAGACGAGCAGCAAACCATCACATATAAACAACAGAAACCAGATGTTTGTTTATTCAGATGACTGCTTACCATTAAAATAAAATCTTAATTAAAATCTGGGATGGAAAACTAAGATGTTGAACAGAATTAGAAAGTAAGCATGAAAAGTGTTTGTGTAGTAGAAAAATATTAGACGTATCATTCAATAAGGGAAGAAAGGGGGAAATAACAGAAACACTATTGCATACAACACAAGGGAAGTCTTGCTGCTTGTGTGCTCAGTAATGCTCTCCTGCAATCTTGTCCTAAATCTGAGCTGTCAGAGAAAACTGAATCAAGTGCACGCATAGCTACTGTTTGTACAAGCTGAAACCTCTGTCCCTTCTGTTCATGGTTTAGTCATAGGTGGGGTTTTTTTTGTTTTGTTTTTTTAAATGCCTCATACTTTTTTTTTTTTTTAAAAAAAGAGCAGATAACTGACAAAAATAACATCTCAAAACTGAAACCAGAAACATGGTTAGCCACAAGCCTTGATACCTAAATTAACTGAAAGATTCTTTCACACAACATTTCTAGTCAATATAATCTTGTCGGCCTTAAAGGAGAGATATTTACATACAGGTAAGGTGAGAGTATTGGGTATCTTACATATCTTAGTTATTTTTAAACAACTGATAAATGAAAAAGCGAGTTGGGTTAAAGGCTAAATTTAACCCTACATAAAAACTGACTAATAGTTTTATCACTGTGCGAGTGGTTTTTCTGTGGTGTGGTAAACACTAAAATTATGCTGGAAAAACCTTGCAAGATGGTCACTATTGATTTTCTAGTCTGTTGAGTGCATCTGACCTGAGCTTGCTCTCACTGCATTTATTGCCCATTTTTTGCCCGTTTCTTTTGTTTTCATATACCTGTAAATAATAACTGTGGTCAAGTGGGACTGCACTAAGATTGGATCAAAGTGGCTGCATCACCCGTCAACACGCTGGCATTAAGTATGCATGGTAGTTATTACTGCATTATTACCAAGCATGATAGAGTAGCTATTATTGGTTTCTACTTGTGATTCTGTGTGTGTCATCATGGTAAAATGTACCATAGAGATACCTCAAACTGAATTTCGAAAATGCTGACAGTTGTTTGTATATGTGTCTGTGGGCAAATTTTGCCAGTGCAGTAATGTCACAAAAGCTGTAAGGCGCTGACACAAAACATTACATATCTGTATTCTTCAGCGAAATAACGGTTAAGTCAGAAGATGGGTGTGGTCCAACTCATGAGTACTGAATACTTAGTACTAATGAGTCTAAATGTCAGTATTCTGGCATGTGTCACAACCTGTGTGATCCCACTGCAAGATGGTCTCTAGTTATAGGGCTCATGGGCTGGATCACACAAGTTTACCAGCTTGGCATCAACTACAAACCTGCCACATTTCATAGCTTTATCTGTTATTTTGGCAAAACCTGTTCCCAAATATACACATTTTGGCACATTCCAAAAAGGTTTTTACCTTCAATACAAAGAAAAGTCACAATATTTAAAAAAAAAACCCAAAAAAAACCCAGTAGTTTGGTAAATGGGGGTTGATTTACTCAAACTTAAAATACATGTTTGTTTATCAAATAATCAAAGAATTCTGATAAGGAAGTTACCACTCTTTGCATTGGCTCTATGTGGACCAATCACACTTACAGCCACCTCACAAAATCCAACTTCCACCCATGAAAAAACAAACAAACCCAAAACTCAATGCATGCACAAAAGCACCTGCCAAAATACTCAAAACTAATTCTGTGGTAGTTCCTGCAACAGTAGGTGTCCTGGGACTGCATTTTTAAACTATGATACACATGCATATCTTTTTGGACAATCTTCATAGAGTTAAAATACTCCCTAACCCCTTTCCCTCACATTAACCATCACAATTAAAGTGCTAACCTTAACCTACCTCTACCTCAAAAAATAAATAAATAAAAACAAAAAACAACTTTTGAACCCCAAACTGCCTTTTGCCTAATTCCTGGTTCTTTAAAAGCTGTCTGGCAACACAAATATCATTAGTTACGATGTTTATATCCTACAAATATAGATCAAACAAACAAACACACACACACGGAGAGAGAGAAAACTCACAATGCTTGTCTCGCAGCGTGATCATGTCAACCGACCCTAGTATACACGGATAGCGCAAGTGTCATCAATAAAACTCGTGAAATAGTAAGAGAGACAATACCTGAAATACCTACAGTTAACTTTGAAGGGGTTGGTCTGTTTTCGCCTGGACATATTACTGCCCAAACCGGTTGGAAAAATTGAAAAAAAGAAAAGAAAAAAGAATATCCTAACCCCGGACGGTCCAAGTATGTTCCGGACAGAGGGAGCAGATGATGAAGAAAATAATAATATAAAAAAATCAAATCGTTTAGATCAGAAACTGGGTCGTTTTCGGAGATTAAAAAATAAAAAAACGGGCACATTTAAGAGTCACATTCTTGCGGTCTTTTTTGTTGTTGTCTTTTTTAAAAGCCCCTTCTTCAGCCGATTATCGGGTTAAGACGATGTCCAAGCCCGGACAGAGAGACTCCGAGCAGCTCCGAGCTGCTCCGATCCCGATCCGCTGGCACCCGCGCACAACTGCAGCGCAGCACGAGCTCAGCTGATATCTAAACGTAAAAGGAATGAAGCTAACGTCGAACAGCATTGTGGGATGTGTAGGGACGCAGGGGAGTTCAAGTGAAAGATACTATGCTGCATTCAGGTCGTGTGGGAGAAAAAAACCCGACCATGTTCAAATATCAATTTAAAGTAAGTAAATTGCTGTGGGCGGTTTTGACGAAGCAATGATTCCTATTTAACTTCATAAGCTCTGTAACTATAACCTGACAATGACACCTCAACTAATAACTAATAAATATCCATCCAAGGACTACTCAGCACATCACATCCCCAATAAACACTATCATAAGAACTCACCCACGCATCTGAAATCTACCGAAAATAAATGAATAAATAGATAGATAAATAAAACATAAAAACAAACCCATAATCTGAAAGGACCTTGAAGGATTAATGTGTCAAATCATATTCTTAGGTTAAATTATTGTTCTAATCATATTCTTGTATTATGAATATTGTTATTAAATAGAAAGGGGAAATTAATGTTCAAGCAATTATTTTGCACTTACACATTTGATAAGTCAGTTACACTTTTGAGTTCATGTTGCCATTAGACAAAGAGTACAAACACAACATACAACGGGATGCTGCATCCTGTCACAGTGACAAAGTAAACTTTTTTTCCTGCTGTATGGCCAAATGAAGAAACTGACAACATACAGAAGCCTTCTAGAGTGATTCTGGACAACCAACTTAAAAAAAGAAAAGTACAGTATGCAACAAATAAATAGCACATCTTTAGATTTACAACAAACAAAAAACTAAACTGAAAACTGCAACGACTCAGTTCTGTTTAGTCACAGATATATACTCAGTATTTCTGTAACTTACATTATACAATATAAGTCTTTTGTTTGACACAATGAAATTATGTGAGAGCGGCAGTCCAGGGAGTGTGCTAGGGCCTCATAGGAGAATTTTTAAAATAAATACACACATAAAAAAAATACATTCAATTTGGCATTTTTCGATTAACAGGGATATATGTTTAAGATTACCACTAAAGTGTATAGATAAACCTATAGGATAGAGGTACTTTTATAGGCTAAATAAAATGATCATCCAGTCCTTCACTTTCCTTGAGTGAAGGGGGGGGGGGCAGTTGTAGCCTATCCCAGTCAGAGTCAGGGTATACCATGGACAAGTTGCCAATCTATTGCAGGGCTAACCCATAGAGACAACTATTCAAACTCATATTCACACTTGAAGCTAATTTAGGATCACCAGTTAATCTAACCCCATGCATGTCTTTGACCTGTGGGAGGAAGTTAAGAGTTTTCGGAGAGTGAACCCCCCATACAGATGTGGAAAGAACATCCAGAAAGGCCTCAGACTGAATTTAAACCAAGAAGCTTCTTGCTGTGAGGCGACAGTGCTATTTCAAATAATTAAAAAAAAATACATGAACATTTACTTTTTATTATGCATATATTTTTTATTCTAAAATGCACAGAGATGCCTCCACTGATTGGACACTGACAAAGCTGAGGGTATTTTTCTGTTACAAAAGCCTTACTATTTCTGAGCCTCTCGCACAGTTTGTGATACCTTTGTGCTCCCTCTAGCCATAATAGGAAGAAAAAGTAGTGCTACAATTGATCATGACACTTGTAATTTCATTTTCAACTCTCTTTCTAACTGCATATCCTACAGTCAACACTAGATGTCGCTACAAACCGTTGGACTGTCAATGTCATAACATTGCATGTAGTCGTCATCACTGACTGCCACGAGTAAACTGACCGCAGCACCACATTGACCGGGTGAAAATGTACTCTTCCGCACGCTCGAGCAAAAATATGCCATCTCAACAAAATAATCTCGTCAGGTCATGAAATCGCCTTTGTGAGGCAAGTGGCAGATGACACACATTCAGACGCAAACGGCACGTCACGTTATGCACAGTTATTTAGATATCCAGTCAGTGAGTACAACGGGATAACATCAGCTAGCTGGCTAATGATAACAAGCCTAACGTTAGCCCATTATAGTTACTGTGAGAACGATGGAAGCGAACAAGCCACACAGCAATTAGTAAACGATAAGAAAGGGTTGAGTACAGTCACCTACCTACATCTCCCATCATAATGAAGACATAATTCAACTATTACCCATGTTGTCCAGTGAACATATGAGGCAGGAGTCTCGAGTAAGGGGCACAGATTGTGATTAAGTCCTCCCGTACAGCTAACGTTACTGTACGCTGATGATAAACATGAGCTCTTCTTTCGCGAACCCCTTGCGATCTGTCAGTGTAACCCTCCGCCTGCGGTAGATGTGCTGAGGCTGGAGTAGCCACCATTTTGCATGTCTAGTGTGTTCCTCCCTCCATTGCTAATAGAGACGATTCCAGTCATTTTCTGGCATCATTACGGCTAGTAAGTACATCCTAGCAACAATATGTCGGCATAAATTTGGGGAAATGGCTTTGCCTGTGAGTAGTTGTCCGCGGTTTGACTGTATTTACGTTGACAACTGTCACTGTGGCGCTGCATAGGAAGTCGCAGCCCTTAGTGCACCGGGGCTGTGCTAAGTTAGCTAGCATGTTTAGCATAGTTATAGTCTTGCTGCACTAGGGATGTGTAGCTCAGCAGTATGCTGTGTCCACTAAATCAAAGTCATCAAGGCAACGCGCAGTGACAATGTATTATTTCCTGTCTTTCTAACTAGCGGGCACAAGTTGCATTTAATTCAGAGAGTATTCGGTTAAGGTAATGAAGAAGCAAGCTAATGGTCAGGTGGCTACGTTAGCTTGATAATCCAAATGCCTCAAGAAGGCCTAAACTGCATTATGTCCTGATCAATCGGCGATCAGAGTCAGGTGTAATGGTCTGCCTCTGATTGTATACAGCTGATGATGTAAACTTTAATGTAATACAGCGCCAGCTAAGATGAAGCTACTCCTGTAGTGTCATCATGATATCTTACCCTTTTAAGATGCTACTAAATTAGCTAGTTGTTAGCTGGCTCTTCAGAGGTGTGATTTGCGTTTTCTAAGTCATATTAAACATGTGACACTTCACGGCGTGGTTATTAATACAGTTAGACTTTCCTAATATGTAACCAACTGTAAGCGTTTAATCCATAAGTTAGCGTTTAATTGAAATACCAAGGAAGCTAACGATAGCTAGCTTGGTGTTCTGAGGACGTGGACTTGGGTTTTTGTCCAGTTTCGTGAGATGGTTAATTAGTGTTGACAAGCTGTTAAATGAGAAGGAAAGACCTAGACACGCGCTTTTTTTGTTTTTATAACTGCGTTATCAACGTCCGAGTTTAATTCATTTTCCAGGATCACTTTACATGTAAGTGTTAAGGAAGTCAGGTGCAAGTAGGAAGTGAGCAAATGAGGTGACGTACAGTATCGGTGATTTCTCTACGGGTTTTGACAGGAGCTGTAAATTACGCCTCCACAAGCTTAGGTCGAAGTAAGCTCTTCAGGTCCACTGTTTGTGGCACCGACACACAAAACCAGTCTTGATAAACTACAAGCCAAGTGTATTGCAACGCCTTTGACGCGCAGTTTACTTTATCTGTATGCTTGACGTGGGCTTTCGAGGGATTCCGGAGGGCCTAATGAAAATCAACCTGTTAAATGTATAATTTTACTTTCCTCACAGTCAAGTCACACGCAGTACTGTAGATTCCAGCCATATTCAGTTCCTACTGGCTTCACTTTATAAAACTAAATATGCAGTATGTTGTCCTGCATTACCTTTTCTGTTCACATGTATTGTCTGTTATATGGGGTAGATTATTATTATTGTTATTAGCTGTAGTTAGGTGAGAGTTAATGATAAAAAGTCATATTTAGTTGTAGCAAAGGAATAGCCAGGATGCATTATTATAGAACGGCGCATAATGTTGTGCTTGAAACATGCAGTTATGACCTTAATTAAAAACATTTAACCTTTACCTCTAATGGCAGTGATGCCATGCATAAAATGTACTCGAGCAGGTGCATTATAAGCAGGGTTAGCGTGCATTAATCACACAGCACTGAAACAACTTAACATGATCACTGTGTCTGCATATCAGTGCCCCACACAATGTGAAATCAGATAGCTCCAGGCTTTGCCTCAGGGCTATTTAAGATCTTTTGGTTTGGTTTCCAGTTTAGGATTCATTTTGACTCCACATCAATGTCATTTGGCCAACCTAAGTACTGAGTGAGTTAGCACTGTCTCTGTGTCTTGTTTGGACAGAAACTGATTAGTCTTTATGGTTTTACCCTAAGTAAATAGCCGCACAAACTTAGTGATAAATAAGGTACTGTAAATGCCATTTGTTATTTTGTCTTTTTTCCTCCTCATTTTAGCATTGGGGTTGTTGCACATTTTGCCTCTGATTAGTTTTGAGCAGGAAAAGCTTACCAAAGACCCGTTCTAAGCAGGGCTAGTTTCCAGCAGGCTTTGTCAATTTGCAGGCTGACAAAGCTAAATTAAGAAGTGCTTAGCTTAACTGACTCCAACTGATGGTGAAGGCACACACAGACCTTTGTAGATCTCCTGTGTACCTTCAGAGTCTCTGAACTTAAAGTTGATCTCATTATTGGCTCTTTGATGGCTCTTTTGATCATCAGTCAAAAAAAAGCAATTTCTCTATTTTCAGTGTTGTCTTCAGCAGGTTAAGTGTCTTTTAAGTGGTAGAAGAAAGGCGTGGTAGCTGCAACAGTAAAATGACTATTTGCAGTTGCACATAGATGTAGAAATCGGCAGGCTTTTTGATCTGTCTGATCTCTGCATGTTTGCTAAGAGAGGAAAACAAAATCTGGAAAACCATAAAGGTCTGGAGTGAGTACATGTAAAACACCCGACAGAATATTTTGACTATTACGAGTGCTTCTTCCCCATACACAAGTACGGTACTCAACATTTGAATGTGCACATAGGAACCAAGGTGTAAATGTAATCCATGTCAAAGCTGATACTCACGTTTGAACTTCAGTGTTTAGTTATTTGTAGCTCTGTAAAGCCGAGCATCTATAGTTGGTTATAAAAGAAGCAGTAGAATAGTCTGTGTTGGTATTGTTTAATTTAGAACGTCTTGATGTCTAGCTGAATGGTGAGAGGAAGAAAAAAAACAAAAACCCTATGCAGTCTGCCAAAGTTTGCCAGTCACAGCTCTGTATATGGTTCTTTTTGGAGCTGTCTGACCTTTTTGTCTACTTTAAATGTGCAGTTCTTTAAAAAAGGGAAAAAAGACAGCATAAATGGATGTTACATCATGCTTTCTATTTCTACCCATACAGTGCTTGTGGCATTTAGGAATATAATCTAAAACCACAAAAAAAAAAAAAAAAAGTGGTTCTTTGTGTCTCGACAGGGTGACTGCTCCCTGTGGTAAATGGGAAGTGTTACGTGCTTTTTAACCTGTTGCTGGTTGTCAGGCTCTTTGAAAACAGATTTGGGTTAGCTCTTCTATGAATGTTTCAGTGTATGCAAAACATGTCAGCAGATGCATGCGATAACTCATAGTGTTAGGCTTTTATATGGTCTGGGGAGTGTAAAAATGTCCAAAGCAATCTGGATGCAGTATAACAGCTGTTCTTCTTGTATATAAATATTATCAGGGTTTATCCTAGCTCGAAATGGCCCTTTGAGGGGTTGTTGCCTTACAAAATAGAAGTTGCTCCATTTTCTTGTTATTTCTGGTTATTTGATAAAGGAAAAAACAAAGTGTTGTTTAGTGAATTAAGCCTCCCGAAACTCATTTAAGGCCAAAAACCTTTGATAAGAACAGAAACAATTTTACAAAATTTGGTCTTTGTAGTGAGGAACAATAAAGTGAACTAAAAGCTGTCGCTCGACAAGTGTTGAACAAGCTTGCTTCCCCACCGCAGTTTCACATTCATCTGTGGATGAGAAGGCAAACTACACTGTTCATCTGAAGGCAATGTCAGTAATTTGCAATTAAAATTGATATTTTGTTTGTAGAAGAATGTGCTGCTGTTTTGCAACTGCAAGAATGTGAAACTGTAATTTAATCAGCTCTCAGCAGTGGCTGGATTTACGTTCTTTAATGTGTACACATTTGATTATGAGCACAGCAAGAGTCGGGGAGCCATGATTAATGGAGCCCAACACTGGGTCCATTCAGTGCAGGTAATTTAAACGGTGTTAAGATGAACAGTAAGTCTCTGGCTTTATTAAAGTGTGGCCTTGCCTGACCACCCTTCCTATTCTTCTTTGATCAAAGTGAATTCTTAGATTGTCCACAAGCCACCACCTTACTCAGCAAAGGATGTTCTCATTCCTCCTGTGTGTGTGTGTGTATCCTTATTTCCTTCAGACTGGCATAATTTCAGAGGATTTCCTTTGATCCCACAAGTGTTAGCGTTAATAACGAAATGTTAAGGAGTTTTTTCCGCCCCTCTTTATTCATTCAGATGAAAAAAAATCTAGCTTCCGCTGAATACTGGCCAATGTAATCAGGTATATTGTAGACAGATGTAAAGTTTGTATTTGGTTACATAAAAGCCTGTTCTAAACAGTCAGAGATTGTACATTTCTTGTTACACTGACAACATATGATTTCCATAAGACATGACAGAGCTGTTGTGGATAAATCAGAGGCTTGATTTCATTATGTGTTCGTGTAATGATTTAATAGAGCCACACGGTTGATCTGTTTTTCTTGTTTCATACAGTGTCACTTATGGTTCATTAAGATGTTTGAGGAGGACAAAAGTCAAAAAAACTCAAAAGCAAATATTTATCGTGACAGCAGTAATTGCCTCTGAGGGATAAATTCTCTCTTGACTACAAAATGAATAAAAAAATATGTTAAATTACTGTGTGTCACTGTTTTATAAAACTTCTTTTTTTCCTGCTAGTATGAGATTGTTTATGAAACAAAAATATAATCATTTTTGTTTTGTGAATGTTATTAAAATCCTTGTGCTTATCAAGATCGGCTATTTCCAAAGTCAAGAGTGCTGTGGCCCACTTAAAAACCAGCCGATCTCAAATCTTCAAAAATAAGCGAAAGGGTGTTGGCTGTAAATTGGTAATGCTAACCAGTCATATGCAGGCCAATGTGTGACAAACCTACCACTTGGACACAAACTTAAGTGCAACTTAAATTAATTCACTTACTTATACTGCAGTCCACCTGCAGTGCCTTCACAGCCTAGCAGCGGTCCCTGGTCCACACTTTGGGAATCGCTGATCTAGACAATAAAACCAAGGAAAGCCTGTGACTTCTAACCATCTTTTTACTGTATGCTACTCGGTTAAGGTCGTAGACATTATTTTATAAAGCACTAATCGATGCAGTCGCACATTTAGAGGACTGACAGGCTCATTAAACTTGCTGTTCTCAACTTCTGCAACAGCACACCAAAAGTGACGTCATCTGCTGGCGCGAACCGTCCTTTTGTGTTTTGGCCGGTCATGCACCTCTGTTTCTGTAGCTTCGAGGTTGAAAACACGAATTTACGATCATGTGGGTTTTTTGTTTGTTTGTTTGGTTTTTTTTAGTATAATATTGTATCTGTACAGAAGTTTGTTTACAGATTATACTGAGGGAAATGTTGTATCAGTTTGAATGAGGCTTTCAAAGAGACCGTGAGGAAAATGAGTTTGTCTTGAAAAAAACTTTGGAGCAAAAGAAGGAAAAACTCAGATTTCTTTTTTCCAGATTTTGACAACTTCTCCTGAACCAGTGCTGATGTGAAGGTTATGTCTGAAAAACAGGAGTGGTGCCTCAGTGCATGCCTCTGGCAACACGTATTGTATGTGGAATATTGCATTACTCATGTCCTCAGTGCTGGTATAAATTGTATGGAACTGTGGCAAAGTCACTGTTTGTGTGCAACACAACCAATACGTGAGATTGTTCCTGAAAAATGTTGTGGATCTGCTAGGCCATCAGCTCTTTGCTCTGGTTCATATGTCAGAGTGCATTATGTTCCCACTTCAGCACTGCATAGCTGGAGTTGGATAGAGTTATGGCTTTGCTCATCAAGTAATTACCATCATTTCTGTTGCAGTAGCAGCTTAATTATGTCCTGCATCCTACTACATAAAAGCTTTCCATTAGATGGGAGACAAAATGTACCTATTGCTCAGTAAAACACCACAATTAATAACTTTCCAGTTTATTTGACAGTTAAAATTAAGGTGGATGTTAGAAATGTGTGGTCATTAGTTAAATTACCTGAATAAACCAAGTTAAAAACTTGGTTTTTAACTTAAATATTCTCTAAAATGTTATTGTGTTAAATTCAATTTGGCTGAGCACATTTTGCAAGCCTCCCGTCTGCTCCAACAACCTGACATTTGCTGGGCTGCATATTAAATAAATTTAACTGACTTTGCTCTCAGTCTCTGTGCTGTAGTAATCATTAAACCCCGGTCATTTAAGATAATTTACTCACTGGTACAAGATAATTTACTCACTGGTACAGACCGGAATAGCTCTCTCCTAACATGTTAAAAAAATCTCAGACCCTGCCAATGAAACGGTGTTCTGTGCTTGTATAAAATGAAAGTAGACTTGATAAAGTATGGATAATATCCGGGTGAGTTTCCTCTAGAGGATGGCAAAAGCTTCCCCGAGGTTTGTTGCATTGGCTCACAGCTTTCTTGTAATATTCATATTAGTGCTAGATTTGCCTCATCGAAGAGTTCATTTAACATGCAGTTTGCAATTCATGTTTTCATCTTTGTAGCTCTTGGATCTGTTTTGGTAAAGTGTAGTTTCGGGTAATTGGTAGATGCAAACACATAAAAGTTGATTTTCAAGCAAGCATGTGCCTTCATAAATATTTAAACATCTTTCTGTAGCTTGTGTTTGCTTAGAAGCTTCTTTGTGCAAGGATTGAATTTCACCATTTCTTCTTTGCCTTTGCACTTTTATTTTTTTTAAAAGATCTAAACAAAAGAGGCAGTTTCCACCTAAAGTCAAATCTTACACAACATGGATTTTTTTTAATTAGTCTGTTTTACTGGAAAACTGACAAATACTTTTTATTCCTAAAAACATAAAATCCTTTTGTTATTCTTGCTACCCAAGTAAAATTTATGATTGTAGTTTCAGCGAACATTTCAGGAAGTGAAGTCTAGACTGTTGATTGGTACCTGTAAAACCTACATTTCTGCCTACATGCACAGCAGCTAAAACCCTTTCTTGGTTTCTAGTATACGTTGTCATATTTTAGGTAAAAAAAAGTGACATACCATGCTGCAGACTGGAGAGTTTTATATTTGTCTTAAATTTCAGAATTGTAGCTTTTCTCCATTAGTGAAGTCTGTCCCGATGCCAACTGGTTTCCTTTCTTTGTGTTTTCCAGAGAATGCCAGCTCCGATCAGACTGCGGGAGCTGATCCGGACTATCCGGACAGCACGGACCCAGGCAGAGGAGCGTGAGATGATCCAGAAAGAGTGTGCTGCTATCCGCTCGTCCTTTAGAGAGGAAGACAATACGTACCGTTGCAGAAATGTCGCAAAGTTGCTTTATATGCACATGTTGGGCTACCCAGCGCACTTTGGACAGGTATGTTTGGTTATGTTGGGGGGGGCAGTATGTATACAAAGGAGTTTTAAGTTTGCACCTCTGAATAGTTTGATGATGCGGTTTTTTTCCTTTTAGTTGGAGTGTCTGAAGCTGATTGCATCCCAGAAGTTCACTGACAAACGAATAGGTTATTTGGGAGCTATGCTGCTTTTGGACGAGAGGCAGGATGTCCATCTCCTAATGACAAATTGCATTAAGAAGTAAGTGGAGGCTACACTGGGTTAAGACACGCACACTTAAATTTAAAAAAAAAAAAAATTTTAGTCCAGTACTTAAAATATGAGTTTATGGTCCCCTGAACACAGTTGAAAACCTTCTTCATCGACTTCTTCATAGTCCTCATAAGATTGTGAAGTATTCATATGCTCCTCTCTGGTATAGCATATAAAGTCACTCTTTGTTTCCGTGACTTATTTGACTCTCTTCTCCCACACCAGTGATTTGAATCACAGCACACAGTATGTCCAGGGCCTGGCGTTGTGTACTTTAGGCTGCATGGGTTCTTCAGAAATGTGTCGTGACCTGGCAGGAGAGGTCGAGAAGCTGCTTAAAACGTCCAACTCCTACTTAAGGAAAAAGGTGAGCTTTACTCTTGTCATGTTTTAATTATCTACTACTACTACTTTAATAATGTGTTGGGGGTGAAAGGTAGGTATGTGTGCTGAGCACTTAACACCACACCCAACACTTAAAAAAAAAAGGAGAGATTGTGTGAACGGCTTCAGCATATCTTATTTAAATATTTGTATGTTTGTCTACAGGCGGCATTGTGCGCCGTACATGTCATCAGGAAGGTCCCAGAACTCATGGAAATGTTCCTTCCAGCAACAAAAAACCTGCTGAGCGAGAAGAACCACGGTAAGTGTAAATGGTTTGTCGGGATGCAGTTGCTGGCTCATGGGGAAATGCGGTTGTCCTGCACAAAAACGGAGTGTGTCCTCTTTCCTGCCACTCATATTGGTCTGTTCATAACAGCTGGGCAGCTGATGCCCTTTCTCTGTCGTCCTTTGCAGAGGGTGGTGGAATTAATGAGTCTGTCAGATACTCCAGGGGCTTGTGTGTTATAGCATACACAGGATATATCAAAGGAAAAGTTGTTTTGGCTTTTTTTGTTGTTGTTTTTCTAACCCTTGTGTTGTCCTCGGGTCAAAAATGACCCGTAGGTGTATGGCAAACAAGTGTATGGGAATCCTGAGGACAGATAAAATAAGTTGTTCTTAACATTTTGTGGCAGTGCAGTAATGTTTGCTTCTCATTATGCAGTTGTATTTTTATTTTCTAAGTTACTGCTCTGTATTGCAAGATAGATTTCTACATACACAAAGCAATGTCAGGTATTGTTACTGTGGACTTTCCTATGCAACCACAATCATGCATATCGTTAACAGACCATGTGTCTGAATGTTGCCAGCACCCAGTCAAATCGATAATGTGACCAAGTTTCTAACTTTCAACGTTTATTTTTATAATGTGACATATTTACAACTGTGTGGCTTGAAAACACAGCTGCCACTGCTTTCCACTGATGTCCTTAAGATTAGTTTTCAGCCTTGTAGCAATAATATAAGGTCACAAGGGAATGATTAGCCTGTTGGATATATTCAGGTCAGAGGCATGGTGCTGTCACCTGTTACAGTTACCATATATGGCATATTTTTCTGACTTGAGTCTCTGTGTGACTGCTCACTGTCCATCAAAGTGTTTAAATACTGATTTGTTTTGTTTTTTTTAGTAACAAATGGGTGATTCATAGAGCAAAACAACTCATGCTAGCATTTTCCTTGAAAGTGGTGTCATCCTGTCATCGTTTGGTCCCCCAGGTGTTCTCCATACATCAGTTGTCCTCCTCACTGAGATGTGTGAAAGAAGTCCTGACATGCTGGCCCACTTCAGAAAGGTACAGATTATTTTTTAAAGGACCTTAAAGAAGTTACTTATGCATTTGTCTTAAGGGCTACGTCACATTTCATTCTTCCTTTGCCTACACTTTTTCTTTTGTTGTAGCTAAGCTAGATAAGCATTTTAACTGTTTGAGAGGTTTCCTCGACATTCAGAGTATGTCTTAGTCTTTTTATCTCCTACCACTGTCTTTTCCTCTTGTATTTCAACTGCTACCAACTGTACCTTTCCCTCTCTAGGTGTAACAAAACTATGCCAGAGACCTCACTCCTCATGCTCATGATCTGAACATTATTTTTAAGCTCTCTGAAAGTGAATGATTTCCAGTTTTCCCCTCCCTAACATCTACCTCATATTTTTTCTGTCATTTGTCTTTGTTACAATTCCTGCATTGTGTTAGAATGAGAAGGTAAGAGTACATTCTGATCTCATAGCTGGTGCATGCTGTAAATAGTAATCACTCCTCACAGTCACCTCAAATGTAATCAGATTTGTGTTCAGTAATGTCATGTTGTGTTTTAATTTAGAAATCTTTTAATTTCTTTAACTTGTACGGTGATCATTACTGTCGGTGTTTTTGAATCTTATAAAGAGTTCTTGGTCCATTTGTCAGATACATTTCTCACTATTGTTTTGAATGTTTTTGAATTTTTTTGCCAAATAAGCCACTCATTTGATCAGTGTCTATTTAGAGGCAGTCAGGTTGGTGTGTTTCCACGTAATTGCCACAGGTGTTGTCACCAGTGAACAATGTTTTCACTAAATATCACTGTGAAAAGGCTTGGAAGCTTATTTTGTGACATCAGTAACTTTCTTAGCTATTTTTGACTTTTGAGAAAGAGTTTGGCAAAAGTTGCACTGGGATGTCATGTTAAGGACAAACTCAGTCTTCTATTTAAAATTTCCTTTTAATATCCTACTCTGATTTGGATTTGCTTTTTTCTTGTCGTACCTTCTGCAAAAAAAGATCTTGTCAAGTGAAATGGCCTGGAAAGCTTGATGTAGCAAAGCAGCATGAAAGTAAAATTGGAAAGCAAAAAGTTCTTCTGTCATCTCAGAACTGTTTTATTTACATGCTGCAAGCTTCTCACCTTAATTTTTAAGAATATACAACAACTGGGCTTGCATGCACTGTACTGCTAAACAAAGTTTTGTCTATAATTTCTGTGCCTTAAAGGATACGAATGAGGTAAAACACACAAAGTATGGGATATCACACCGCCACATGTCCTGGCTGAAGATACCTTTATTCACGGCAGATCAGTGATACCAAACTGTCATCACAGTCAGCCCTCAGTTCTCTTCACCTTACTAAGAACACCAAGTCAGGAGAGCCAGCTACTGCTAGTTAACTTTGCTGTCTGCCGACTTGAAGTTGGCTTAACCGCCTCTGTTGGTTTTGGCTATCACTGTACAGTTGGTGTTGTAAGCTGCCCGTGTAGTGCTAATTTCGAGTTTCCCTGTGAAGCAGTTTTTTGCCTCTTGCACAAATTTTAGTTCTTCCTGCACATCAATTTAAGTTCTGGCTTCCCTCCAGTGAAACACAAAAGTAAATGTATCCCATCCCTATTACACTAATAGGCATGGTTGAAAATGGTACCCAGTTTTCTGATTTAGTGCTGTGTAAGATGCCAAACTATTTCCCAAACTGTCATGCTTTGATGACCAGTTGTTTTTTGTTTTTGTTTGTTTTTAAAGCCCTGAAAAACTGAAACTATGTAGGATAGATGATATTAATGTGATGGGAAGTTTCCTGCTTTAATGCACTTTATGTTAGAATTAATTTAAACTAGTGCTACTACTCTTTGCTTAGCCATGCTCAAAATCATAGCAGTGTGTATGCAGAGTTTCTTTTTCTCTCGAAGCCAGATGTTCTAACCCAATACATTTGTACAGTCAAGTTTTTGATTTCACAATCTCAATTAGTCACACACGTTTTAACCATATTGCTCTGCATCAATAAACGAGAATCCCAACCCCTTTGCATTGCATAAGAACTTGCTGCTTTAACTGAGAAATCGTTAACTTCAAACATTAATAGTAGTGTTACACACATTAATGATTTAAAGAATCATATTTCAGAGAGTTTAACAAAATATTGTGACACCTCTTCTCGTTTTTGTTTTTTGTAGCTTGTTCCACAGTTGGTGAGAATCCTGAAGAACCTAATAATGTCTGGATACTCTCCTGAGCATGATGTGTCAGGCATAAGTGACCCTTTCCTGCAGGTAAATCTCACTTTTTTCATTATACAATTACCCGGTACAACAGTTAACAATCATCTAATGATGATTGTTAACCATCATTAGAATTTAGACTCACTGCACTCTTTATTAGGTACACCTGGCTAGTATCAGGTTGGAGCTCTTTTGACTTCAGAACTGTCTTAATTCTTCATTGGACATATTCAACAACGTGAGTGTGGTCATAAAGGGACGGGCGTGGCCAGCAAAAATGAGGGAATCCTGACAGGATTCCCTCCCCTGGTGTTTTTTTTTGTTTGTTTGTTTTTGTTTTTTTGTTTGTCTTTGTCTTGCTTCTGTAGCCCATCTGCTTCAAGGTTTGACATATTCAGAGGTGATTGGTGTACTTGGTATCTGAAACAAGTGGTTATTTGAATTACTGTTGCCTGACATGTCTGGCCATTCTCCTCTGAACTCTGGTATCAGCAAGACGTTTTTACCTAGAGAATTGCAGCTCACTGGATTTTCAGTTTTAAAAAAATCTTTCTCTGTAAATCCTTGGGAAGTTTGTGTGGGGAAATCTGAGTAGAGCAGTTGCTAAAATACTCTGCCTGGCTGGCACCAGCAAGCAGGTTTATAGTTATTTCTTCCTCATTCTCACACTTGGTATGAATTTCAGCAGGTTGTCTTGACCACAGATGCATTGAGTTGCTGCCAATGATTGGCTGTTGAGAGAAAATGGCAGCAAGCAAGGAGCGGCTTGTGAGTAACAATAAAGTAAATCACATTTGACAGGACTGCTGCTTCTTCTTTTTCTTAGGTGCGGATATTGAGACTACTGCGAATTTTAGGCAAGGGTGATGACGACTCCAGTGAAGCAATGAATGACATTCTTGCGCAGGTTGGAATTGGAAAAAATATTGCTTAGATTTAAGTCCTCACAGATTAAGTGTTGTTCTGACAAATCCACGGTCTGTATACTTGCAGGTTGCTACAAACACGGAGACGAGTAAAAATGTAGGCAATGCAATCCTGTACGAGACTGTACTGACTATAATGGACATCAAGTCTGAAAGCGGACTGAGGGTGAGTTCATTTTAGGAAAAGGTTATGAGAATCTTTTTGAAAATTTTAACTCATCTGAATGCTTGTTTCTTTCTTGCAGGTCTTGGCCATTAACATATTAGGTCGCTTCCTTCTTAACAATGACAAAAATATAAGGTAAATAAATTGCCTGGAGTATTTCACCTTGAAGCCATCGATTTTATCTAAAGTTTGATTAAAACCTGTCGACATTTCTTTAATCAACTTCAGATATGTGGCATTGACATCTCTACTAAAGACCGTACAAACGGACCACAATGCAGTGCAGAGACATCGGAGCACCATTGTGGATTGTTTAAAAGACCTGGACGTGTCCATCAAGAGGTGATTCACGGTGCTACACATAACTTAACATGTCATGCTGTTTTGGGGTTTTTTGCCTTTTTTTTTCTGACCCTCGTCTGTTTTTCATTACTGTGTAGACGTGCAATGGAACTGAGCTTTGCGCTTGTGAACGGCAACAACATTAGAGGCATGATGAAAGAGCTGCTCTACTTCCTGGACTCCTGTGACCCTGAATTCAAAGCAGACTGTGCATCAGGAGTGTTTCTAGCTGCTGAGAAGTATGACACTGATACAGACTTCACCACACTTTACAAGTTTAGCCACTGCTACTTTGTTGAAGTGTAAAACACATGCTGGCTGACCTTGTCATGTTCAAGGTTGTTAAAGTTTTCTGGGTTTCACTTTCTCTTTTTTTTGTGTGTGTTTTCTGTACTTTAAGCACGAAAGGTTCTGGTTTGGTACTACTTGGTACAAGTTAAATGTATCTATATGAATTAGAAAATCTAGTATATATCTTTCTTTTTATGGCCAGCACAGAAATGCTGTATGATGATACAATGAGTGATCCATCGTCTGACAGACTTTGTTGACACCTTTATTCTCTGACAGCATTTATCTCCTAGCAGTTGACACTCTTCTGAATTTAATACATTTACATTTTTAGTCCATTGCTGGGCCTAATGGGTGTATTGTTTATCTTACAGATATGCTCCTTCAAAAAGATGGCACATAGACACCATTATGAGAGTCCTGACAACCGTAAGTAAAATACACAAAACTCTAATGCCTAAAAAGTCCTTTGACTGTTGTTTAGTTCACTAGTAGTTTGTTCGCGTTTCTCATTGATGTTTCTGCTCATCCTTCCAGGCAGGGAGCTACGTGCGAGACGACTCCGTTCCTAACCTCATCCAGCTCATCACAAACAGCGTGGAGATGCACGCCTACACAGTACAGAGACTTTACAAAGCTCTGCTGGATGACATCTCACAGGTTCGTCTCCGTGTTTGTAGCAACCTGCAAGTTCTCGCAGCATTTCTTGTTTGGGTCATGCTTAGATTTGTGATGTCTCCATATTTTTTATTTATTAATTTTTTTGTAGCATACATTAATAGAATGTATTGCATAACAAAACTTTGGTATTTCAAACTAGTGTGAGAAGGTGATTTCTATTTCTGTGTTGTGTAGCAACCTCTAGTGCAGGTAGCATCCTGGTGCATAGGAGAGTATGGGGACCTGCTTGTGTCTGGGCAGTGTGAAGAGGAGGAGCCTATCCAGGTACACAAACATCTCAAGAGCATATACAAAAACAAGATTTAAGATGACATAACCTGCTCATGAGATTTTCTGTTTTCCTCTTTTCTTTTTGAACAAAGGTGACTGAGGATGAGGTTCTGGACGTGCTGGAAGGCCTCCTGGTGTCCAACCTGTCCACACCTGTGACCCGGGGTTACGCCCTTACAGCTATCATGAAGCTGTCTACTCGCTTCACTAGTGTAAAGTGAGTAATGGCTTTTTAAACTTACAGTGGCTAAGTCTTTCTTTTGACTTACTGTCACATGATCTTAAGATGGTTACATGTGTTATTCAGTGCAGCATTTCCTTTGAGACAGTTTGAAGGGGCTTTCAGTGGACCATAAATATATGAGTGTTTATTATTGGTCATAAGAAATAACAAGACATAGCGTCATAATACATAAAGCACTTGTGTCTCACTTTTTAAGCTCAAGTGTGTTTGAAAAACAATCCATGTTTTGAAAATAATAATAAAATAAAATAAGAAATAAAGTTTGTGTAATAACCAGCTCTACCTTCACTTTTTGTTTCAGTCGAATCAAGAAGGTGGTCTCGATATATGGCAGTAGCATCGATGTGGAGCTTCAGCAGAGAGCTGTGGAGTACAATGCGCTTTTCAAGAAATACGACCATATGAGGTGAAACTACTTTACTAGGAAATTACTCATATCTGTGACGGGCACATTGTAGCACTGAGTAGATTTAAGGGCGGGGAAAGAAAAGGGAAAAAAAAAAAGCTCAAGTGGTTGAGTTTGGTCTGTCTTTTGTCCTTGTTTGTTCCCTGACAATAGGCCAGCTCTCTTAGAGCGAATGCCCATTATGGAGAAAACTGCTTCTAATGGCCCCACAGAGATTGTACAGACTAATGGGGAGGCTGAGCCGTCTGTTGTGGAAGCAAAACATCCACCACCCGTCACCCAGCCAACCAACCAGGTAAGAACTGTTTTCAGCCTTTATATTATCACGAAATACACACGTCTGTAGTCAAATGAACAATTAACAGGATAGATCTATTTGTCTTAAGTTTCTTTAAGAAACCATATTTTTATTGAATTTAGAACCAGCTTCATTTAAGTCTGTTGATGAGTATTTTATTTTTGTAGTATCATTAAAAATGGTATACATGTACTTATCATGTTAATGTCTTGTCCCCATTCCACAGGCTAATGATTTATTAGACTTGCTGGGTGGTAACGATGTGGTGCCGGTAATTCAGACCACTGTGCCCACTAAGCCAGCTTCAGCAGGAGGAGAGCTGCTTGATCTACTGGGTGACCTCTCACTTAGTGGTAGAGTACTCTGTTTACACATTTATTGCACCTTTTTATTTATTTATTTTTTTAAGAGCCTGCTATAAAACTTGAGTTTGACTTTTTGCTTAATGAACTAGAAATCGCACTTGCAGTGATTACAGCAGTACTTGAAAAGTAAAGCAGATACCCAAAATGTTGGACCATGTATATCAGCATTCTCACTTGCCACTTTTATTCCAGCTATGTTTCTAAAGTTATGATTTTTCTGTGATTGTGTGACTGGATAATAATAATAATCATGTTAATTCTGAACACAACACATGCTCAGTAATGCTGCAATGCCCCCTTAAACCCCTTGAAAATGACACATCAGTAATCTCTGCATATCATCATTCTGTGTCCATGTCCTCTTAAACCCTCGTATGTTGCTTCCTCCTTCCCAGGCGGTCCAGCCCCTGCTCCTGCAACCTCAGTGCCCTCTTCCCAACCCGCTTTCCTCTTGGATGGCCTCACCTCACCGCCCCTTTTTAATGACATTGCAGCTGCAGGTGAGAGTATGTTTCTCACCTTGACCATCCACTGCCACATATACACTATTTTATGACCTAATCCTTACATAATACAGCACTTGGTCATTTTTTTTTTTTCTGGACTTACCCAACCTGTGAAGTGTTAGTACTGTAACATCTACATTTTTTAATCAACTGCTCCTCTCTGTATAGGTATCCCTCCTATGACGGCGTACAACAAGAATGGCCTGAAAATAGACTTTACATTTGAGAGAGCTAACCCCAACCCCAACATCGCGGTTATCACTATCCACGCATCCAACTCGACAGAAGCAGACATGACCGATTTTGTTTTTCAGGCTGCAGTACCAAAGGTGAGCAGCCCAACACGGGTATTATGTGACGAAAGTGTAGTTAATTCCTAATCACGACAGTGTTCGTTTTCATTTAGCTCCATTATGTAAATGGGTTTCCACTGACATTAGGCTTATTCAGTAACTCACAGTGCCAATAATGTGCTTGTTCTGTAGGCTGAACCTGCATGAATGTTGTAAATATTGGATCTGTAAGCTGGAAACACTGAGCAGTCAGTGCTAGTGGGAATTAATTATTAATAGACTTGCAGTGTCTTTGGTATGCTGTTTTTCTCTGTTATCTGCAGTACTCTCAACTAGTTGTGTTTAATTATTATTTAATGCAGGAATGCTTATTTTTTCAGATCACATGACACATTGCTGTTAGTACTTTTATTAATATTTATGTTGTGGTAACTGTTGCTGTTACTGGATCTTTAGTAACTGCCCTGTGGTCTCTTGTTTACCTGATTTATCTTCAAACTTCTCAACTCTTCAAATAGTATTTTTCCATAGTAATGGGCTTTTAAAACAATGCTGTTAGTTTCATGGGGAAATGTACAGTTTTTATATTCTAATGTTGACGTTCCTATGAGTGTAATTTAAGTGAAGTCTCACTATGCGCTCTTGTTTTTGTAGTCTTAAAGTAATATCCGGTTATGTTGATTTAAATAAAACCAGGGTTTCTGCCTGCATACTGCAAAGGGGGGGCCTAGTGGGTGTAAGTTGACCACCCACCTTGCATATGCGCCATGGAATATTTTACAGTCATCTTATCTAATGAATAAATTTGATAAAGTAGTGATGAGTGGCTTCGAGTGACCATCGATCAGTTGCTGTCTAGTGTCCGTATTTTAAGCTGCTCTTATGACCCCAATTCTTCGGTGGTATCATTAAATTTTCATCTAACTCGCCGTCCCCTCTCTGTTTGTCAGACATTCCAGCTGCAGCTTCTTTCCCCTAGCAGTAATGTCGTCCCAGCACTTAACCAGGGAACTGTCACACAGGTCATCAGAGTACTCAACCCACAGAAGGTGAGTTTCTTTTTCTCAGATTGTAACGAATACATATTTGTTTTTGTTTTTTCTTTTTGTCCTCATGAGGAGTTTCCTTTTTTATAAATCCATCCACCCCTCCCAAATTTCAGCAACAACTACGAATGAGGATCAAGCTGACGTACACCCACAAAGGCTCGGCTGTGCAAGACCTGGCTGAGGTTAATAACTTCCCCCCTCAGTCCTGGCAGTGATGAGCTGCTCCTGTTGCTCTCAAAAGCCCCAAGCAAGGGAACTATGAAAACGATTTTCCTTTCACCTCCCACCTTTCTTCCAACGGCCCCCCGTGACATCAGTGCAGACAGATGCCCTCAAGTTGCATGGGGAGCAGCAAAGCATTGTATACAGGAGAAAAATGCAGATGTTACGAAGACCCTATTGACTATTGACATCACACGAATAATTGGGTAAACATATCAATCAATGAACTTTTCTTATTTGTTTTTCTTAATTGGTTTCCTGATCTCTTTGATTAGTATGTTTCTCTCACACACACCCTTTGCCCGGCACCGACATCACCCACAAAAGCACACACGCACACCATTCACTGTGGTACACTTTACTTCTCTAGTCACTGTAGAAGAAAAGTGTTGCCCACTAATAAGCACTGCAGTAACCATAGTTTTATTTGGACTTGCAGGTGGAAACCCTGCTCCCTTGATACTTATGATTGGCTTTGCATTTGGGTGTTTTACCTATGAACCTTCAATCCTACAAAGGCAGCAGGAAAAAAAAAGCTTTGAAAGGTCTATTCACTGCAGTCACACACTTGTTGGGTAACCTCGTTTTTGATCCGCCACATCATGAGTGATATAACTTGTCAGAGTTGTATTCATTTTGAATTACATTAATTTGCTTAAAGCATGTTTGAGCATCGTTAGGATCACAATCACACCTGGACTTCGTCTTTTCCGACTCTGACTGTAGGCCTCTTTATCCTATGTTTCTATAGGGAATCGTCTGCGTTAGTTTGTCACATTAAGAACAAACAGATCCAAGATGCTCACTTTGATCACCTGTGGCTAATTTCATAGAACCTGCTCAGCTCTTATCACATCTGTAGTAAAGCAGCAGCTTTTAGATCAACGTAAAACATTCAACTGTTCATTGCTTTGCTTCGTCTGAGGGTGTTCATTCGTTAGAGTGGATATAATCCAGGCCTAAAAATTGATCTGATAATAAGTTTGTGTTTTTAAACTCTTCCTGCATCTGTGTCCCGAGTCTAGATGAGTTACATTTCAGATTTATTTACCCTGGTTGAACGTGGTCACCATGCACATACATGTAAATTAAGCTTGTTATGAATGTAGTTACATGCACTGAATGCTTTTATTTCCCCTTAATTCTTTTTTTTCATGTCTTCTTTGATGGGGATGCTCATCTTACTGGCACTATTTGTGTGAAAGTCTGTTTATCTCTGCAGTAATTTGACTTAATTTATGCCTGATATCAAAGTGATGTGCCTTTCTGACTTAGCTAGATAAAAGCCCCTGAATTTATTGAGTTCTGTATGAGCTTTGTTTGTAAGTCTGCTTGTGTGATGGTCCTGTTTTCAATCTGAGGGGGTAAATGGTCCCGGTGGATTAGAATGGGTATGTCACTTGATTTGATTTAGCCTTTTCACTGCTTAGTCTAATGACGAGTTAAAAATCAGTCACCCCCAAATCAGTCTCATGAGCTCACGAGGATGTCAGCAGTAATGTTTTTCTAGTTTTGACACATACGTATTTTAATCTTCTTGGTTGTTTCTTTACAGTGTGGCA